AGAGCTTCTGAGATTCACAAGAAGCGCACGGGCCGTGCTCTTCGCGTGACCGAGCAGGATGTTATCAATGAGGAGATGTACGAAGAGGAGGATGATGATCTGCCTACCCAGTACCAGCGCCTCAACGCTCATCTTCAAACCACTTCGGTCATGTTCAACAAGAAGCTCCATGACTACATTGCGACCCAGCATGGCGTCAGGAACATGTTCATGTCCCAGTACCAGAACCAAGGCGCGGCGTTCCAGCAGTATGGTCCGCAGTATCCGGCCAATGGCGCTCAATTTGCACAGCCGAACAACTGGCTGAACCCGTCAATGCTCCCGCCTCAGCAGTTCGCCCCCGCGTCTCCACAGGGTTTCCAGCAAGCGCAATCCTTCAGCCCGACCACCGCTCAGCCGCAACAGGGATACAGACAGTCACCTTACCAGATTCCTCAACGCACTCACTCTCACCAGCGCGCTCTTTCTATTCAACTGCCCCAGGGCGCATCGCACTTTGACCCATCAGCTCAGCCGGCGAGTGCAGGTCTCACGACGCCACAGACTGAGCTCAACCGAAGACTGTCTTTACCGCCGCAAGCTTTTCAACAGCAAAACCAGACAGTAGAGCGACAAACGCGTCCTTCGTTATCGCGTTCGCCTACTACCCATTCGCTCCAGCACCGTCAGTCATCTTCGCCACAGAGCGCTTCGCCCAACGCAGCTTCCGTGCATGAGGCCGCACCTGTGCAGAGTGATCCTAATTCGCCTTCCTCCTATTCTTACAGCCCTACGAATTACCCATACAGCTCGCAGGCGCTCAACACCAATCCTTTGACTCTGTCTATGCCACCCGAGTCTCAGCAGTTCCTTGGATCTGTCCTGGATCAGAACGACCCACGCACTGCAGTCTTCATGGCAGGCAGCGATAACCTTCCTCAGCCTTTTGCTCCGACCTACACCTACAACCCCAACAAGGTTGGTCGGACAGCTAACGCCAGTAGCATGTCTGAGCATGCTAGTGGCTCGGCTCAAACATTGTCATCTGGTCTAAACTTGAAGACTGAGCCTGTTTCTGGTACCACGTCGCCGTCGGTACCCAGTGCTATTTCTGATGGCTTTTATTCCAACGATTCGTTTTTGACGCCTGGTACTGGTGAATACAGTGCCTTTTTCGATTTCCCTGGCGGCGATTTCCAACAGTCGTTTGACGACCAATCCGCCAATGACCACGACAATGGTAACAGCCTCGTCAACTGGGATTAGGTATCATTTTCGCCATTTTTATCTTGTTTTTTTGTCTTTGTGGACCAAGGTCCTTTGTACGATCCTTCTAGGATCCTGTCCGTCTAAGCTCTTCGATACTTTGCTACGTCTTTGGGTAACGGTTCTGGTTTCACACGCACATGATACCTTTTGTACAGTGTCGTTTACGAGGTTACGACTGAAGGCGTTGCAAGGAGTCTTCCTGTCGGTGAAGAGAAGACCCACACATAGGATGCAACAACCATCCTTCTTCAGGCGCTTGAGGGTGTTATTGCCCATATAGCGATCTCCTCTCCCAGTAATCCTTCGATTTGAAGTGTTCCTGTATAATATATAATTGTAACGGTCATTTTCCGTATGCAATAGTCCTTCCGATCTCCGGTAACCTCATGTGCAAGTGATGCTTATCACAACATCTATGCTGCCACTCGCGGCCCAAACTGCTATTACGAGAGCCCAATGGTGTCCTGGCTCGCGGACCGTTGCTTGATCAGGTCTTCAGGGTTCAGTACCCCGAACTGGGGATGATACACAACCAGGGAGGGTTAGGCCTTCCAACTTGTACTTCCTACTCGGTAGTAAGCGGCTGGGCCCGTCGTAGGGAGCGTAGCATGCACTAGTTCCGGAGTGCCGTTGCGCGCACCTCTTCTGCTACGTAACAAATCACCTTCTTGTGAGCGATGAGTTCACATGGGTGCGTCTAGACTTATCAAACTCATCCGTGGATGATGGAGGTGGCCCTGCTGGGCTGGCTCACGTGATGCTACTGCAGCCGCGCTAGCGTCGTGAACAGTACCAATGGACACTGCCGTCCTCCGATCTTCCAACAGATCCATACCGCTTCCACGGCATACCCAGCCTAGCTGGTCTGCACCGCTGTCTATGTTCGGTTCCTGTTTCCTCTGCATCGAGATCCCTGTGCCGTCGGGACGTTCTAACGGCTTTCTGCATCAGTCGCGTCGTCCTACTGCGGTTGCTTGTGAAACGCAGCACCCTGAGCGTGAGTCTGGTTCCTGCATCTGTGCATCTAGCTAGTGATGGAACCCTTCATCTGCCGGCCATACGAATAACATAGTCCGATCCCTGATGTCGAGTCATCCATGGTCCATTTGTCGCGTTCCCCGAGCAGGCTCTTGTATTGTACCCTGGTACATGCGGCTGGCTGGACCCGAAAACGTCAGGGACTGTGCCCAGAATCGAGGCCGGTATCGCAGTCCGATCGCGTCCGACATTTTGGAGAGACAGTAGGATTCGCATATGGCTCATGCATCGAGCCAGATGAAGATGGCTAAAGACCGATTGTTCAGACATGTTGCCGACCGCACATAGCCCCGGAGGTCATGCATCCCTCCAAAAGTGCACGCAACCTTATGATTGGCAAACGACATCATAAGGAATTACTAAGGCGGTGTGGCACTGCAAACCTTTGTATTACCTATTGGATGCCTGGGAATACGAGGTCGGTCGAGCGTTGCGACACTGGGTACGCTTCTTCAGTGTCGAGTTACTCGAGTCCATTGGCTCGCAACAACACCATGCCTAGAGAAGTGACTGTATCAATTCATTCAGTCTCAACAACAGTGCGCTGGGTCACTTCGTCATTCGCGAATTTCTTCCTTCGCCTTCTGTACTACCAGCGGTGATCGCTGCGCTGCAGTGTCATGTTGCTATCCGTCCGTCGTTTACCCTCCCGTGATTCCTTTCTTGGGTTAGACTCAAGATATTAGCGGATTGTTGCACTGGCAATTTAAATGCATACACCAGCTACCTCGTATGCGGGCTGCTATGCATCGACTGAAGCCATTATGGCCTATCGAAGCGGTGCATGCCTTTCTCAGAGGCAGCCGCTACTCCAAACTCTCGCAGTCAAGAGACGGAGCCCAACACGTTCAGCATCAAGCGCATAGAAGTCATGATTTTCAAACTAGCCGTCTTCATCGTAGACGTTGTCATCATTCAAAGAATCGGATACCATCGATACAAGCATGATGCCGTGCTGCATGCCCATAGTGGAGCTAACCGAGTATTTCACTGCGGCCGTACGGCTGTAGCAGTATCGTGTCATGATATTGTCGCGGTGGAACGTAGATCATCACATATAAGGTCATTGTCTCCAGTCAATCGAGGCTCAAGCCGTCCAGCTGTAGTTGTCTGTTCGACACATCCTCTCATTACTTCCCCTCAACACTCGTTTCTTTCTTCATCTCTTGGAACAGGTGTGTCTTGCGACTCACATAACAACCATGAAGCTCAGTACCTTCACTCCGTTCGCGGCTTTCCTAACGCTCACTGCAGCTGAGCGGATGCCATGTAAGTCTCCCCATCGTATCTGCTGTTGGATGTACACACTTCTTCCGTCAACGTACCAATCGTCACGCTCTCTGAAATCTAAGCACGTGAATTAATATTCTGAATTAGTGAACTTCCCACAGCATGTACGGCCTCGGCAGTATGCACCACCACCACCATACTCTCCTCCTTACCCAAGTTTAAGCAGCACCGGCGGAAGTGCGTCGTCCACCTTCTCCAGCGGCACCGGCGTCTCGCTGTCTACTTGGACGCCTCCAGTTCCAACGTCTTCGTCAACTGCAAACTCTACATCGCCAGGTCCCTCTACAGTCGTCTACACTAGTGTCGTTGTTATCACATCGGTTATTGTTCCCTCGACATCGTGAGTTGTTATCAATCCTGAATATAATTGCTCGCTTAACTAATCCATTGCTCAGTGAAACTTTCTCTGGAGATACGTCGACCGAAGCTACAGCGAGCAGCTGGGGCAGCAGCTCTTCTTCCATGAGCATCCCTCTTTCGACTGGACCTCAGTCATCCGGAACAGGGTACTACCCAACTTTGCCGCCACATGAGTCTTCCGCACCTTATGGCAACAGTACTGGTACAGCTTCATCTACTTGGGGTACGGGTACCGCGCCAGGATCTTCAATGCCATCTTTGACCTCCACTGCCAGTAGCAACTCCACTGGACCCAGAAGCTCATACATTCCACGCTCGTCGACAACTACAGAAAGCCCGAGCACCAATGTAACTGTCATTACGTCCGTCATCACCTCCACCATTGCCATTACCACATCCGTTCCATACCCTTCCAATGGTACTATCACGGAGACGAACACTGGGCCCACGGCAACATCCAGTGGAAACGGAACTATTTCTCAGACTCCGTCGTCGTCGGGCTACTACGGTCCACCTGGTAACGCCACCAGCAGCGGCAGTCCCTCTGAAACCGATACTGTGTCTTCATCGTCGATCGACATCTCCACAATCTCCTGGATCACCTACACTTCCGAAGTTTCTTATAGCCAGTCGGAGACTCCGACGCCAACCACTGATTATTACACGTCATCTTCAACCTCGACTTCAACGTGGTCTAGGAAATCCAGAGTTTCCCGGAGTCGTTCTTCCACACGTACCTGGTCTAGAACACTCACCATGTCCAGATCCTCGACCACGGACGGCTCCTCATATACACCCACTAGTTCCGAAGAGTCTTCATCAGCTACTGAAACTGGAATCTCTTCAGATTCTTCTTCGCTGGCCTCATACACACCTTCGTACACGGCATCTTCTACATATGATACCAGCAGTGTGCCTAGTGCTTCAGAGACTGATTCTGCAACATCCTCGTTGCCGTACTCGTTCAGCATTTCGTTCAGCTCGATCGAGACGACATCAGACTCTTCCACACCCACGTCGTCTGGAGTCATAACTTTGCCTACTCCCTCGCCAACCACGGAGAGCTATTCGTACTGGTCTTCCTCATTCAGCGAATCATCCACGGACTCTGAGCTTGTTTCGTACACTGAGTCGGTAACTTCAGGCACTAGCAGCTTCGTCTTGCCTTCCGAGACGCCGTCGGAGTCGTTGACCAGTGATTCTGGTACTATCGAGACGCCCGTCCCGACAGTAACACCCTCTGACACATCCTCTTCCGACTCTCCTATCACGTCTGTCAGCTCGACCAGCTCTGAGACCCCCGAAGTATCTAGCTCATCCATGTACAGCGAAACGGAGTACACCACCTTCCCCTCTTCCTCCACCGCCTCAGCATCTTCTAGCAGCGAGTCCAGCTCTGAGGTCGAGACTTCCTCTATCCTTACAGCCTCTGAGAGCTCTCTAAGCTCAACCTACACCGACGCCACCGCTACTTCCTTCCCGGTCGAGTCCTCCACCGCTTATCCCAGCAGCTCTACCTCAGGCTACTCCTACTGGACCCCACCCGTCAGCTCGGTCACCAACACGGATGCTACCGCTTCCTCCTGGCCTGTGGATTCTAGTACCTACCTCACCAGCGCGACGGGCAGTCTCACACTCACGACCTTTGAGACGAGTGCCAGCTCCACCAAGAGTGGGTACGCGATGCCACCTGAGGTGACATACGAGGCTCAGAATGACAAAGTGAAGAGAGGCATGGTGAGTTTTCCACTGCTGCCTGATGTTCAAAAGGATGAGTACTAACTGTCTTGGTAGATGGGCATGTGGTTCATGTAATCTATACTGCACGACACTCACGCGGTTAGGCGATGTAAGCCCGTTGTGAGGCCGATTGGTGAAGCTACGACATGTCATTGCGTCTTTACCAAACAAACCACATTCACATTCTCTACTGTCCTTTACTGGTGTAGACATACCTTTTCCTTGTTGTTAATTCTCTTCACTTCTCTCCCTCCCCACCCTCCCGCTGTGTCAATGATGTCTGGGCTGGGTATTTAATCATCATGGCTGCAAGATCTTGGGCCATAGTTCAATACAACATGTGTTTCCTTAGACGTATCTCGCCTCCAATTGACGTGATGACTATCTGACATCGGCGATCATGATGTATTGGGATACAAGTCGAATGAGCCTCCAGAATACTGCGCAATGACTTGGATATCTCCCGTGCCTCCAACGCACCACATTGCTGACCTCGTACCGAAGATGAGCACCCAGTGTTGTGTAACGTTTTGCTAGGAGCTGTATCTTGAATATGCGCTGAGGCCGTCAAGGCCGTGGCATGTGGTGTATAGACGAGAGTCGTTATCGAAAAGCAATCGAGCCGAAATACGAGGAAGGCAGCGGAATATTGAAGCGCAGTACAGGTATCGAGATCGACGTTGGCGAGGACAGTCCTTCATCCAGTAGTGTCAGCAACGTAACCTCAATTGAATAAACATAGCGTATCACCATCCATGAGAGCCACATTGTCGTCATTGAAACATTATTTCATTCATTCTGCCGTGACGATTAGGCGTCTTCTTACTCGGTGCAGCTATAGCAACGAAGCATGCCTCCTCGAAGTCAATATGTGTCGTCCCTGATGTCCGTCGACGTCTTTACATCTTGCTCTTAGCCTCGCCCTTGAGCTCTTGGGTCTTGCCCTTGGCCTCGCCCTTAAGCTCTTGAGCCTTGCCCTTAGCCTCGCCGGCCATCTCCTTTGCCTGGCCCTTGGCCTCGCCGGTGGTGTCGGGGGTGGCTTCCTTGACGGCGCCAGCGACTTCCTCTGTTGAAAAGGTGTTAGCATGTGTTTCTTCATAGTGCTAGCGTAGCTGGTGTGCGCACTGTACGATGTCGTCATATTCTCGGCTGTTGAGAACAGAGAGCATCAGGCAGTGTAATGCAGGTAGGGTGTGTAGGGGATGGGTAATGTACGTACCTCCCTTCTCAATGCCCTTTACAGCGGCACCGGAGATTGTCCTGTCGACAGCCTTGGCGGCATCCTTGATAGCTTCTACGGGGCTCTTGCGCGCGACTGGTGTGGTGCTGAAGAGGCGGGCCTGGCGGGCGATCTGTTGGCGGAACATGTTGATGGTGTTGTGTGTGGTGTTGGTGTTTCGAGGTGAAGTTGTTGGTAGAGGTGAGAGAGGTGGCAATTGAGTTGTTCGATGGTTTGTTAGATGAGGTTCCTTTGGGTGTGTGCGGAAGACAGCTTTAAAGGATGTGTGGACGTGGACTGAGCTGCTGTGCTATGACGTAGTTATGATCAGCCAATCGCGGATGTGGGTCCGCGTGTTGCCATGCATGCGCGAGGAACGTCGCGTTTACGGAATTCGCATGCCGGGGCATCACAAATTTTTACATGTGAATTATGCTATTGTGCGCGATGTTGATTCATTACGATTACTTTTGCCGTACTAATTGGTATTATACTGCATGAGCTCAGGCTTAGTACAGCGCCTTCTGCCACCATGCACACCTAGCGTTCGCGTTGCTGTCGCGTACATCCTCGATGCCGGTAACGTTAAGCTCCAAGACGGTCGCATCCGGACCGTACATGTTGAACTGCTTCACGCCTGTAGCATCTGGCACACCATTCTCAGCGAAGCTGGTGATGAACTCCTGCAGAGCGATGGCAATGGTGGTGTTGGCAACACCTTGGAGCCCGGTGGAACCTGCACCGCCCTCAAAGTACGTGTACGGGATATCCTGACCATGAATAGCCGGGGGAACTGCGAAGAGATAGGAGTATGTCTTGTTTCCGTAAGCCCTGGAGAGGTAGTTGGTGTTGCACGTGAAGACTCCCTCGCTGACAATGAGGCTACCGCGCTCGAAGTTGTTGGTGTATGGTAGAGACCCGTCGAACACCGGGGGGTAGAGAGTCTTGGTAACATAATCGATGGAAGACTTTGGAGCGTTGGCGAAAGCGGACGAGATTTGATCTTCCAATGCAGCCTCGTTTGGAATGAAGAAGGGCGTGAAGAGGGCTCCTTCATTCGCATTGTGGCCGACCATTACGCGCACGTCCTTGTCAAATCGACCTTGTGCCAAAAGCTGAGCTGGCTGAAGAGGAGCGAAAAGACCATCCACGACCGGCCCGTAAGTGAATGTACCGTATGGGGAATCATAGGTGATCTGCTGAGCATTCGCAAGCATTACCTCTTCAGATGAGAGAGCCCGCAACTCTGCGAGGGAAGTGGTGTTGGTAAGAGTGAGGAACCTCTGGTAGACATCTTCCTGAGTGACAACAGAGGTTGTAGGTTGCCATCCAGGGCTCTGGGGTACGGCTTGCTGGAAAGGAGCAGATCCATTAGCACCACCGTATGCAGTAATCTGATGCATGATCGAGCCGCCTCCAGCGCTCTCACCAAATACAGTAACCTGTAGACATAAATCAGCACAAATCATAGATGCATGGACCAGTTCTGACTTACTCGGTTCTTATCACCTCCAAAGAGATGAATATTCTCCTGGACCCACTCAAGCGCAAATCGCTGATCGTACAAACCTAGGTTGGATACACCTCCTTCTGCTTGGTATGAAGGGCCACCCGTCCAGCCCAAAGCACCAAGGCGATAATTCATCGCAACGTAGATAACATCGCCATTGGACGAGTTGCCGGAGGCCGCGAGCAGACCCGCAGGGTTGTTGTTTTTCTCGCCTCCTGTGTAGCCGCCTCCGTAGATCCATACGAGAACAGGAGCCCCGTAGCCTTGCCCAGCTTTGCTAAGCACATCCTCGGGAACAAAAACATCCAAAAATAAGCAATCTTCAGACTCGCGGGGATCCGGTTGTGGGACCGGACTGGTAGCATTTGCTGGCATCACTGAATAAGTTGTGTTCGAAGCAGGAAGGCCGAGCGCATATCTGGCCAACGACTGTGCTGCGGCTGCAGACCAAGCGGGATTTGCCTGAGGGCATATTCTGTAGATGTTAGTATGATTGTATGGACTTCGGTTTCCTGTGGTGCTTACCTCGATGTCTCGCCAGTGTTGATAGATGACCTGTTTTCTGCTGGAGCCTGAGGTGGTGCAAACCTCAAGTCACCGACAGGTGGTGCAGCATACCGTATGTTGGAAAAGTTGTAGAAGTTGCCGGTGTCCTAATTGGGTCAATTAAAAAGGTGACATCGAGACTTTGATGATGGTATACGAACATTGAAGCCTGAAGCCTGGTAAATCTCGTAGCCCAGGTCGACTGTAGGTAATGAGGAGTTCTGTGCATATGCTGCACCTATTAAGGCTGCTGCTGCTGCTGCAAGTTGCAACATATCGGCGGACGGGATGAAAGTATGAATAGAGAAGTAACGACGAGGGCTACCCAGGTGTATATTCCAATTGCTCGGGACTCACGACGGTAGAGGAGATACAGCCGCGTACAAACGTGCAAGGAAGGCCCATCCATCAGGCACGGGTCGAGCATCCATATATACTCCTGTCATTTGCCCTAGTCCAGCCCGGCCAGCATCTCGTAATGCTGTCGCGATCACGCATAAGCCGCAGACACGTCCCGCCTCAGCCTAACGCAAACGACTCCACGTACACTGCGTAGTAATCGTCAACGGAGTCAAGCTCGCCTGCCGTGCCGGTGGCTTCGCCAGGCAATACACAAGTGCGTCATCGCGGTGGAACATTCGGCGACTAGCGGTGTCACTGATTCGCTCGCTGAGGCCTGGCGCGAGATACGGTCGATACGTGGCTAGCTGTGGCACAGCTGCTAGAACTCATCCACGTGCCTGGGGCTCTGGGAACCTCGCGGATTTTGTATGTACACAGTTGTAGACAATTTTGACTTCTGACAGGTAGAATTAAACTTTTTGAAACGTCGTTCGGTGTCCCGGTGAGATGGGAGCGGGAATGTCATCTCGGCTGTAACTGGCAAGACGGTCCGACGAGGATATTCCCCGCAAAAAGGAAGCAATGCTGGCAGGGTATCTTGCCGAGGCATCTCGACTGGCTATGCGATGCCTTCCGATGGCCTGGTAAGGCTGGTGTGAAAGAATGCGCGCAGTCCGCGGGGTACGTGCCATAATGGCGTACGGACGAAATTCTAGCCGTCGTAGGTTCTCTAGCCGCAATAGAGATCCATCAAGTATCCACCTTATCGCTTCGTCGCTAGGGGTACCATTGTTTTATTCACGATCCAACGTGATCGCATGCAGAGGTAGTCGCGATTCGTACGTGTACCCTAAATGTAGGGGTTCAGCCTTCCTCGAGTCCACCTAGCGCCACGGGATACCCATGCAGCCATGGGTGCATCAAATAGGTGAGCTGTTGTTCGATATAGTATGCCAATAAGCGTCGCACCGAGACAACAACAATTTTCGTCACGGCCATTCGTAGATACTAGTGCATAAAATTAGGAAGGTGAACTGAGATGACGCCCAGCGCTCGAGAGGTGAGCAGGTGGTGGTCAGTGCACCGGCGGCTCCAGGGCTCTGGTGCTGGCTTGCGCTCAGCTAGCACCCAGGCTATCTTCAGTTCCTTATTACTCACACGACAGCCTACCTAGGTATATAGCCATTGGCCTTGAGCTGCTGATGATGTCTTAAAAGTGGACGGTGTCGGTGATGAGGTCCTGGTCAACTGACGCCCGTTTCATGCAACCACCACGCGGTGGAAGAGCCCAGAATTGTATCTTAGATACTGCTACACTGTCAGATTCTGGGTAGCCAAGCCTTTCGAATGTACCTGAAGATTTAAAATGGAAAAGCTAACTGAATGACTGAGATTATGTTGTCGTTCATGATGTTGCCGTGAAGATGCTTTCCAGTTCCTGCTCA